AACCTCATGGCAGAGTCAAATCTAGGTGTGGTAAGTTTAGGTTCCAGGCTCCCCACCACTTCCCCCTGCTGGGGATGCAGCCCAGGGCCTCCTGGGTGCTAGGCCTGTGCTCTACTACAGAGCTGCACCCCGGTGCACAAGCTCTTCCTGAATGCTATAGCTCCCAGCTCCCAGAACACAATTCAAGTCCAAGGATTCAGTGCTGAGTGCTTTTGGCCAGCACTTGAATTCCACGCGCTTCACAGCCACACAGGCTTGGAACCTGGGCTCGCTTGAGCATGGACTGGGGTTGGATGCCAGCGTTGCAGCAGAACAGCTTGGCTGCGATGCTGCCTGGGAATTTGCACCTAACCCTCCTCATCTGTGGATAGTTCCCTCTTTATGGCTTGGGGACAGCCTCAGAGACCAGGGCCCCACACCCGTGCCACCTTTGGACACCAGTGTTCTTTGGGCCCCGGGGAAGGAGAAATGGGCTGGAGTCTGGCTCTGCATGGCCACGTACTGCCTAGGATGCCTGAGCTGTCTCTCCCGCCCCTAGCCTGGCTCCCACCATGAGCGCGGAGCTCAACGTGCCCGTGGACCCCTCCACCCCCGCCTGCCCTGAGCCTGGCCATAAGGGCATGGATTACCGGGACTGGGTCCGCCGCAGCTACCTGGAACTGGTCACCTCCAACCACCACTCGGTGCAGGCCCTGTCCTGGAGGAAGCTGTACCTGAGCAGGGCCAAGCTGAAGGCCTCCAGCCGGACCTCAGCCCTCCTTTCTGGGTTCGCCATGGTGAGTGCATCCTGGTGATGCTTCCTCTGCCCCCGGCATTGTCCTCCCAGAGCTCTTCACTGCAGGGGGGCGGGGACAACCCAGGGAAGCCCCAAGCCCCAGAGTCCTCAGAAGCCTGCTGCTGTGTTCACGTATAGCATTTGCCGGCCAAGGGGGGCTGGGGGGGAGATTAAAGAGCTTCCGTGGACAGGGTTTCTTGGGACAGGCACCCACGTCTGCCCCATCCCGGGCACCACCCAACAGTCTGGAGACTTCAGCAGGGTCTCAGATGGATTGGGTTAGCCCAGTTGGGGACGCAGACAATTGCCAAATGTGGCCTTGCCTGGGATGACACTGCAGAGCCTCTGGCCTGGCTCCCGGCCGCCACTTTCCTTCTGAGTCATCCTAGCACAGGAGTCAGTGTGGGTAAAGCCACGTCTGCTGTTGACTCCAGAGTCCCTGTCCCAGCCCTTTGGGGGAATCGCCCCGGAGGAAGCATATTGAGGCTCAGCCCCTTGCTGCTGGGTGCTGGCCTGGAAGTGATGTTTCCGTTCCCTCCTCTCCCCTCCCCTCTCCTTCTTCTCTTCTGTGCTGGACCTCCCTAGCCCTTTTATTATAGTTTACTATATTTTGAGACAAGATTTCACTAAGTCACCCAGGCCGGGCTCTGACTCACAGTCCCCCTCCCAGAGTGCTAGGATTATAGGCAAGCACCACTAGATGTAGTTCTTATATAAAAAGGATCATACTGCTATAGCCCACAGCCTTGGTTGTTAAATCGGCAGTGCAGATTAAAAAGCCGGCAGAGTGAGCCACTGTGGCCACTGGGGCCTGTGCAGTCATCAGGCGGGCTGAAGCCGCACTTGGAAAATGATGCTTCCTGGAGCAGGAGAGGCCAGACTGTGCACAGGGTGGGCAGAGCTCGCCAGCCTGGAGGGCGGTGCGTTTGTGTTTAGTTCTGTAGTCCGAACAGAGGGCTTAGTTAGATCTTTTTTTTTTTTCGTGGAATCCAGCACACCTTCTAGGCAAGTGCTTTACCACCGAGCCCAACCCCAGCCCTTTTCTTATTTATTTTGAGACAGGGTCTTCCTAAATTTCCCAGGCTAGGGGCCAGGGATATAGCTCAGCAGCACAGTGCCTGCCTGGCGAATGAGATTATGAGCTCGATGCCCTGTACCCAAAAATTAAAAAATTTCTCAGGCTGAGCTTGAACTAAAAATCTTCCTGCCTCTGCCTCCCTAATTCTTGAGATTACAGGTGGCCACTACACCAAGGTCTTTGCATTTAATTTTTTAAATACAGTTACAAAAGTATATAATCAGGTGGTACACAACTTTGGCTCCTAGTGATTTTCTTCCTGTGGCTTTTATTATGTTAAAAATAATACTTTCATACCGGGTATAGTAGTACATGCCTATAATCCTAGCACTTGGGAGGCTGAGGCAGGATTGGTGCAAGTTTGAGGCCAGCCTGGAATATATAGCGAGACCCTATCTCAAAAAAGCAAACAAAAATATTCTCAGCTGGACTTGGTGTTGCACACCTGTAATCCCAGCACTTGGGAGGCTGAGGCAGGAGGATTGCCATGAGGTTTAGGCCAGCCTGGGCTTCATAGTGAGTTTAAGGACAGTCTGGACTATGTAGCAAGACCCTGTCTCAAAAAAAAAAACAAAGCAAAACAAAAAAAAACTGATAAAGAAAAAGCAAAAGAAAAAAGAAATATGTGTGAGAAGTTTAGATGTCACTATTAAAAATTGGAAATCAGCCAGGCACAGTGGTACATGATTGTAATTCCAGCTAGTTTGGAGGCAGAAGGATTGCACATTCAAACCCAGCCTTGTAAATTTAGTAAGATTGTCTTAAAATAAAAAAATTTGTTAAAAAGAGCCTTGAGTTCAGTCCCCCGTACCACACACACAGACGCACACAGAAGAGCTTGTTTTCCATACCACAGAATTGTGGGAGTGCGTTGGATTTTTCTAGCCTGTGCTTTTTATTTTTAACTTTTGAAAAACTGAGAAGTATTATAGGACTTAATATGGTCAGATGGTGTCCTTTGTGAGGCCCCAACCGTGGAATTTACTTCCAGTCTGAAGTTGTCTTCTTGGACCCAGGCCTTCCAAATGTTCTGCTTTCCAAACTTTGGGAGAGTTCATTGTCTTTGTGGTTTTGCCTTTTGGTTTTTTGGTTTTGTTCTGTTTTTCATACTTTGGGGGATTGAGTCAGGGGCACTCTACCACTGAGCCACATCCCCAGCCCGTTGTATTTTATATTTTGAGACTGGGTCTCACTAAATTGCCCACGCTGACCTTGAACGTGGCAGTCCTCCTGCCTTGGAATCCTTGTGTTTCATCCAACAAAAAGCTCAGCTAAGGTGAAGGCTTCAAAACCACACATAGAGATTTGCAGACAAGCCTTGGGAATAAAGTCATCCAACAGGGAGTGAGAGTTCTGGAGAAGAGGAAGCCTTCTGAGACTTTACGGCAGCCTTCAGGGCAGCAGGCACTGAGAGGCAGGGGTGGAGACCCAGGTCCCCCGAGAGTCCCAGGAGGGCTGTGTGTCCTCCGTGTGGCGTGGCAGGCACTTTCTAGTGGGAATTCAGTTCCGCCCCAAGCTCTATCTCTGGTCCAGCAAGGGTGACCTTAAACTTTTAGGAAATACATTTCAGAAGTCCCCTCTCGGGGAGGCAGCCACAGACTAATGTGTTCTGCAGAGTCAGCCAGCACATGTCCTGGGGAGGTAGGGAGCAAAGGAAATGTGCAGTGGGGAGCTGCGGGTGGTGAACCGATTAGTGTGCCTACACGATTAGTTTAGCATGCTACCAGCAAACCCGGACCTTACCCAGACCCCAAGGCAGCTGGGAGAACAAGTAACTAAAGCTGTCGCTGGCTCAGACCAAGGATGGGGAAGGATGAAAATAGGCAGTTTCAGGTCAGGCATGGTGGCGCACACCTGTAATCCTAGCACTTGGGAGGCTGAGACAGGAGGATCGTTACAAGTTCGAGACCAGCCTGGACTACAGAGTAAACTCAAGGCCAGCTTGAACTGCACAGTGAGACCCTGTCTCAAAAAGACAGACAAAAAGAGAAAAGAAAACAGGCAGTTTCCCAGGCAGAGCCTTCTGTTTTTATTAGTATTCCTTGATTAGAATTGGAAATCTGTCCCTTTGTCCAACTACAGGTGCTGGTGCCCAACCTTAAACTCATTTCTTCATGTTTATCCGCCCCTAACATGGAGACCAGTGAGCCACAGCCACCCCATAAAATCCCTGCGTAAATACGTAAGAAATGTCCTTCTGGCCTCTCTTCTCTGGAGGCGGAACAAATTGCTTTTGTGAGCCCGCTCTCCTGTCTTCTAACTATCTTTGTTTCCTAGTTTGGAGGCCTCCAGTTTGCAATATCCTTTGGTTGGGCCTTATCCTTTGTGGGTAGCAAGAACCTACCCAAGCCACTGGGGTGCTGAAGAAAGGCCACGCCCTCTCACTACTTTGGGGGAATACTTTTCACAAAAGCCCCGGCCATCGTCACTGCTGTGCTGTGTTCAGCTCTGGCCCACTAGAGTATCTTCCCTACCAAAAAGTTCCATCGCCAGCCAAGGCGAAGTGAAGGGATGAGGGTCTCACTCAAGGTGTGGCAACTGCTAAACAAAGTTGTGAAATCTTACACACTTTGTGTTTTTTGAGACAGGGTTTCTTTCTCTAGTCCAGGCTAGCCTAGAACTCACTATGCAACTCAAACCGGGCTGGAACTTTCATTTATCCTGCCTCAGCCTCCCAATTGCTGGAATTATAGGGAAGCACCACCACACCCAGCTTTCTTGTAGATTTTTTGGTAATGGATGGTCAGCTCTTGGAGGCAAATGTAACGGGTGAAAGAGAGAAAGAGAGAAGGAGAGAAAAGTAAGAGAGGTAGAGGGAGGGGAGAGAGAAGGAGAGAGAGAGGGAAAAAACCCTTTAAGAAGGGCTGCACCTGGGCATGGTGGCACAACCCTGTAACCGCAGGACTCACAAGGCTGAGGCGGGAGGATTGCTGCCAAGTACAAGGCCAGCCTGGGCTACACAGTGAATTCAAGGCTAGCCTGGGCTACAGACCAAGACCATATGTGAAAAAAAAAATCAAAACAAAATTGCCGAGTAACACAGAGGCTGCCCTCCCTGTGTGCACTTCCAACTCCCCCCAGGAAAACCCTATGGCGGCAGGGTGCCTGGCCCCCTTTCCATGGCTCCCTCTGCTGGACTTTAGAGGCTGGCCACCCCTGCTCCCTGGGTCTCGGCTAGAGGACACACCTGCAGGAGGGCTCTGAGTGTGGGCCAGCCTGCAGCTCTGCACCCCTCCCCGTCCCTCCGGGATGCTCCTGGCCCTGGTGGGCTGCAGCTCTGCCCACCGGGCCCCACCCCGCCCTCTGCACCGCAGGTGGCCATGGTGGAGGTGCAGCTGGAGACGCAGTACCAGTACCCACGGCCGCTGCTCATCGCCTTCAGTGCCTGCACCACAGTGCTGGTGGCCGTGCACCTGTTCGCCCTCCTCATCAGCACCTGCATCCTGCCCAATGTGGAGGCCGTGAGCAACATCCACAACCTCAACTCCATCAGCGAATCTCCGCATGAGCGCATGCACCCCTACATTGAGCTGGCCTGGGGCTTCTCCACTGTGCTTGGCATCCTGCTCTTCCTGGCTGAGGTGGTACTGCTCTGCTGGATCAAGTTCCTCCCTGTAGATGCCAGGCACCAACCCGGCCCTGCGCCCAGCAGCCACACGGGTTGGCAGGCTGCCCTGGTGTCCACCATCATCATGGTGCCTGTGGGCCTCATCTTCGTGGTCTTCACCATCCACTTCTACCGCTCGCTGGTGCGCCACAAGACGGAGCGCCACAACCGTGAGATTGAGGAGCTACATAAGCTCAAGGTGCAGCTGGATGGACAGGAGCGCAGCCTGCAGGTAGTATGAGGGCCTGGGCGCCGTCCAGGAAGGCAGATGGCATGGCAGGCTGCTTAGACACTGCCAGACGGTTCAAGGCCAAAGTTTCCTCCTGTCATAGTGCCATAATAACCTGGATGCTGGTCCCCGGGACCATGGAGCTTCAGTGATTGGGGGTTCTGTGGCCAAGAGCCACCTCCTGGCCCTGGCACTTCCTGGGTTGGGGGCAAGCCCAAGAGGCCCTGTCCCAGGAAGGGCTCCAGGCAGCACCAGTGTTCAAGGGGGATCTGAGAGTGCCGGCCCCTGTGGCCTGGAACCAGGGCTGTGAGTTCAAGGTTTTGCAGCCAGCATGCAGAACTGGGCTTCGTGGCGGCCTGCTGGGTCACAAGCCCATGTGACTAGCAGGGCTGCCGGTGTGGTTGGTGCTTTCCTCCCATCCCTAGAGGGAGCTGGGCCACCTGGCTTGTGGAAGGAAGGCAGGAGCCTGGGGCACAGTGAGCTGGAGAGCGTGGTGGGTGCTGTGGTGTACATTGGAGCTGTCAGGTCCTGGGGGAGGTTTCCTGGGAGGGAGCCTGGCCAAGGCTGAGGCGGCTTAGTTGAAGGGTGCTTGGAAGCACACTAGGCTCAGATCCACCTCTGCAGCCAGCCTGGAGGCCGGGCCACACTGCCTCACCAAGCCACCAGGTGGGGAAGTGACCACAGTCCAAGGTGTCCTCTTCTGAGCCTAAGTCTCCACCCCACCGGGCTACGTGAACAGCAGGACAGGACAGCAGCACGGACACCAGGCCCAGCCCAGCTCCCTGCTGCCTGTGGTCCCTGGTGTCAAGAGGGAACAGCTTCCTGTCTCAACATAGCTAGTGACCAGGCCCACAGGTAGTGGGGCCAGGGGCCAGTGTGGGAAAATGCTCATCGTGACACGGAGCACCACAGGGTCCCCCACCCACGTTTACACAGCCGTGCAGCAGGGCTCTGGCGCTGTCACTCAGCATCTGGCAGACCTGAGGCTCTGTGGGAGTGTGCTGCTTCAAGACCGTGTTTACCCCATTTTCCAGACGTCACCTGGAGGGATGCCTTGTCTTTCGTTCTGTATATAAAGTCACGTCAGTTCTTTGTGCTCTACTTACCTCTCCAACAGCTTACTGTGTCTGCAGTGTCTGGATTGAGTGCTGGGGGACACTGGGTGGCCTCACTGAGTTCTCTAGGAATGTGACATGCCCTGAGGACATGGTCTTAGTTACTTTTGTTGCTGAGACAAAATACGCAACGCCCAAATTAAAAAAGAAATGGTTTATCTAGCTCAGTTTGTGTAGGTTTCAGTCCATATTCGGCTGGCTCCAAGGCAGAGTGGCACATGACAGAGGGCAACAGTTCATGGCAGAGGAAGACAGCAAAAGTAACAAGAGCAAAACGGGAGGAGCAGCGGAGAGGAAGGCTCTTTCCCTCCCTTACATTATATGCAAACTACCCACCTCAGGGTAGGTGTAGCACTCACACCCATCATCTCAGCATTGGACAGACCATGGATCAATCAAAAACTCTAGAAGCCCGCCCCATGACTGCAAGAGGCTTTTGGGGGACATCCAGACACAAACCATAACAGACACAAACCTTAGCACACGCTCTGAGATGCTGTGGGAACCTCCCGTGAGTTGTGTCATCTACCAGGGGCCTGGACATCCAATCCCCTGAGGTCCGAGGCCTTGGTGTTCTGGGCACGCTCCAGAAGACAGAGACCCACTGCCTTCTGGAATGCGCCCGCTTTCTTGGAGCTCTATCGAAGGCTTGCCTGCTTTAATGTGTGTGCTTTGGTAAAGCATGTCACTGTCACTGTAGGATGGCTGTTTGTGTCCTGGCTGGGGCAGGACAGGCGGGCCCTTCTAAATGAACGGCTCCACGGCTGGGAGGGACAGGCAGCTCCTCCTGCATCCCTAGCTTTTTGAAAAAAGCCACAGTGGACCCCTTCCTGCCGCCCACTTCCCAAGGCCATCTGGTGCTCCTGCCCACGGTGCCCAGTTCCACAGACTGTGTGCCAAGCTCACCCATCCCAGCACAGCCAGGATTACACCTGGTCCATAAGCAGTGTCCCGCCCGGCAGGGTCAGCACCGGAGAGCGGGTGCCTGGTGATGGAGCCACAGCAGCGGGCAGAGCCATCACTGACAGGGACGCCCCTGTGATCTCACGTTCCCAGATCCAGCCTTGCATGTTCTGAGGCGTGGGGCAGTTAGTCCGCAGAAGCAGAGGTGACTGTGCTCATAGGAAGCCTCCGGCCACCCCCATTTGGAAGGCAGACTTCCCTTGGGAGCCGCACAGACAACTCAGCGGGTCAGCCTGGGGGAGGTGAAAGCAGAGTGGACGCTTAACCTGATTTTGCAACGTGAGGCGGCGTCCTCGTTTTGTTTCTGCAGCCCGGGTGTGGACCGGGAGCAGCAGATGCGCCTGGCATTACTGTACAGCGCGTGGCCCCCACGCGCACCTGACCCCTCGACTCAAAACTCAGGTGTCTCCTTTTTAGAAACCATGTGATTAGCATCTTCCAGGAAGGTCTGTTGAGGACAAACTTCCAGCTGGGTGGATCAGGGCTGACCTATAGGGGGCGCCTGTCTGTGCTATGGATCCTGAATGCATGACGGTGCAGGTGGTAACCCCTGACATGTGTGTGGATTTTTAACAGTTGCCCTGGATTGAACTGAATAAACCAGTAAAGCTCTTCCAAGCTATCTGTGCTCTTGGTGGGACTCGTGGGGCCTTTGCATCCGGCTACATCCCCAAAACTGTTTTTTATTGATACAGGGTCTCACAAAGTTGTCCAAGCAGGATTTGAACTTGCAATCTCCCTGCTTCAGCCTCCCTCGGTGTTAGGAGTACAGACATGCACCACTGTGCCCGGCTCAAGAACAGTGCATCTTGGGTTAATGTCTCCCATGTGGCTGTCGGGGACAGCAGGTCTTGCCAGCTTCACGGACACTCAGCTGTGGGGGCCACCAACCTGACTGTCACTTAGAGGCACATTCCCTGCAGGGTGTTCTGCAGAGCTGCAGGCTGGGCCAGTGTGGAGCGTCTGGCAAGCACAGGTTTCTTTGCTGCTTGGCTTCCTGGATCCTGCCACCCCACTGGTGCGTGTCCCAGGCTCTGCCCAGGGGCGGCTCAAAGGCCCAGCCTGTTGGGGAGAGGCTCCCCCAGGCCCCTGGGCTGCTCAGATGCAGCGGAGCTCAGCCAGCTGGCATCCCAGTGCCCAGTGAGAGACCCAAATGAGGACCACCCTCCATCCTCATGCTCCAGGACAGGGACACAGGCAGCAGTCAGGGCGGCCCAGGAGCCTATGCCCATCTGCCAGCTGCCTCTCACAGGGTCTTTTTTTTTGGTGTGATAGAGTTTTGATCCATAGCAGAGTCCTGCCTCAGCTTCCTGCGTGCTGGGGTTACAGCCATATGCTGCCACACCCCGCCGGCGCTCTCACGGGGCCTTCGCAGGACTCAGCTTGGCCAGTGGCTGGGAAGCTGCTTTGCAGATGGTGCCTGAGAGCTCTTAGCAGTTTTTAGGAATGACTTAAAGAGCACGCTGATCAGGACCCTTTCCTGGGGGCTGACACAGCCCTATTCCCCTCAGGGACTTAGGCAGGTGGCACTGAGCTGAGTGTCTTTTGTATCATAAGCCCCAGGAAAGAGGACCAAGCACCCTTGCCCCCACCCCCATCTGATGGGAGTGCCTAGGGCAGCCAGCTTTTCCAGTAAGCACCCGCCACACCAGGAATGCCACCGAAGAAACAACCCCAAAGCATCCTAGGAGGGGAAAAGGCTTTCTTCCTACTTTCACACCATTGGGCGGGGGGGGGAAGAACCAGGATGTCCGTCGTCCCTGCCCACCACATCCCCCACCGTAAGGTAGAGCGTGACCAGGCTGAGCCGACTCAGGAGCTGCCACCATCTGAAGCCTGAACTTCAAATCTGCCACCAGTCCCACTCTCCAGCCCTGCACCCTCCCCAGGCCCACACGGGCCCCAGCTCCTGGGCCTGACTGGCGGGTGTCTGGAGACCTTGAGGTGGGTAAAGGCAAACATCATTTCACACATGTACCAGCATTTTGAAAGTTCAATTCCCACTCCTTCTAAACTGACAGATTAGCCGGGCGTGGTGGCGCACGCCTGTAATCCCAGCACTCGGGAGGCTGAGGCAGGAGGATCGTTGGGAGTTCAAAACCAGCCTGTGCTACAAAGTGAGCTCAAAGCCAGCCTGAACTGCATAGCGAGACCCTGCCTCAAAAAGACAAAAAAAATAAAATAAAATAAACTGACAGATTAACCCAAACAGTAGCCACAGTGCAGGTCCGAGGGGTGGGATCCTGTGCAGGGTCCCGCCCAAACCAGCTCTGGACATGGCTCACGCTACCATGGCATCAGGGTCAGATGGCTTCTACCAAAACCTAACAAGAGGAAGAGAGCTGGCTCTGGCACCTCTAGCCAGGCTGGCACAGGCCTGTCCCCAGGGAGGTAGCTCACACGGGTCTCCCTTGGAAAGAGCATGAGATCTGCAGGAGCTCACGTCCTAGGTCCTGTTGCCTCCCCCCAGGCTGGAACTCGGCTGACAGCTCCCGGAAGGTGGCACAGACGCGCCGGGCTGTGATGTGCCTGCGGTGGATGGCGTGTGTCCACTGGTGCCGCGCCGCCCCGGTCAGCACCAGCAGGGAGCAGCGGGGAACGGGGATGGCCACCTCCACATCCTGGCACAAGACGGACCGGGTGGGAGTGACCTCGCTGTCCACACTGTCCTTGGGGCCGGTGGGAGGGGCCAAGCGGAGTCGCAGGGAGCCGGGTGCCTCCCGGGACATGGACATCACGGTGGGGGACAGGAGGTTGAGGCTCACCAGCCGCTCGCCCCACAGCCAGGCGTCATCCAGGTGAGGGTCGATGGCAGAGCCGCGCTCGGGGCTGTAGTCCAGGTTACACTGCTCCACGGGCTGGAAGCCCTCCAGGCTGGGGTAGAGGCCCATCCTCCGCACCACCTCCCGGCTGAAGCTGGGCAGGCCCTGGAAGCCTGCCACCTTCAGCTTCTGCTTCCGGAAGTTGACTCTGGGGCCGTAGTCCTGTGGTGACAACAGAAAGGGAGTGGTTTAGCCAGCGACACTCAGTCAGAAGGATGAAGGTATGCGCGAGCCCCTGACCTCACAGATGGGAGGTTCTGGAAGGAAGCAGGCCCCGGAGAGCTGGAAATGAACGGCAAACAGCACTGGCAGCAAATGCTGAGGAAAAGATGAAGCAGGGAAGGAGAAGGTGGTGGAGCTCGGGTGTCCTGCCCCGCACCCCAGCAGGCAGCGCTGGAGACAGAGGGTCTGCGCTCTGGTACAATCCCAAGGAGCAGGACCCGGGGAGGGTGATCAGCACGGAGGGAAGACTGTGCCCAGGCAGCAGCATCAAGCAGGTCAGCGCCGAGGTCGGCCGAGGCTCAGAACCACAGGAAGGGGAGCCCGCGACCTGCAGCTCCTCACCTGCACGTGCCCCGTGTGTACATGAAACCCCGTACACGGACGTTCCCGGCTGCGTTGTTCACAACAGCCCAAAAGCACAAACAAGCCCGGTGTAGTGATACACATCACTTGTAATCCCAGCACTTTGGAAGGCTGAGGCAGAAGGATCAAACGTTCAAGCCCAGCCTGGGCAAGTTGAAGGGTGGGGATATAGCTCAGTGTGAAGGCCCTGGGCTCAGTCCCCAGTACTGGGAAGAGAAAAGGTAACCTGATCTGACAGGGGTTACCCAGGATATAAGAGGGGCCAGGGCTGCTGCAGAAGCCCTGGCGGGGTCCCCAAGGAGCCCGGTGGCGTAGGTCTCTGTGGCAGCAGCTGTGAGGGTGACATGCGCACCGTCAGGGCACGTTCTGCAGGAAGAGCTGGCAGGAAATAGCAATGGCAGCTCGGAGGTTCAACACGAGCCACAGGGACACAGCTGGAAAGACCCCTGGTTTCTGGCCCAGGAAGAGAGGAAACGCACCGGAGACCCGGCGCCAGGCTGGGCTGCGGGGCTCGGGGTGGCTGCAGGTTTGGGGCAGGTTAATGAAGAGGGGAGGGGAGGACAGAGATGGGGCATGAGACTGATCTCGCAGGAGGCGAGGTGCCAGGCAGCATCTGCTCAGGAGGTGGACAACAGCACACGGGGCAGAGCGGACGAGGGGCTGTCCTCACAGCACCACACTAGGACAAAAGGCGCAGCAAGCAGGTGGCGGGGGAGGCCTCGTGAGGCAGAGTGGGAGGAACCTTCCAGCTGGCTGGATATCACTGCGGCTGTGACACAAAACCACGAGGACGCCAGGGAGAGGTAAGGGATGGCAGGGACTAGCCACACGGGGTTGGAGGAGCAGAAGTGAGGTCCCGGGTCCTGTGGGGGCTGGGACGAGGAGAGGAGCGAGCAAACAGCAGCAGACAAAGGGATGAGCAGGAACGTGCAGATGGATAAAGGACCTGACGGGGAGAGAATGGAGAAGGGTGGTGCGTGGCAGCCTCCGGCAGCCTTGGAAGACAGGATCTCGCCTAGAACCCGTCCACCACTGAGCCCCCTGCGGTAGCTGTGCCCTGTGAGGCGCACACTGGACACAGCCCTCAACGACCTAGCCACCTGTGCCCCATCGGGCCCTCAGGGGTGGCTGCAGAGGAGGTAACTAAGGGCCTGCGGCATCATGGCCCCTACCATACCTGCTTCCTCCGGCCAGACTGAGACAGCTTCCAAGGGTCACGGTCCATCAAGCGCACCATCTCGGCCTCTTCCTCCCGGGTCACAAAATCCGCTATGAGTGTCACCCCCGGAAAGGGGAAGGCCCAGCCTGCAAAGTCGGAACCCTCGGCCCCTACGGCCCAGCCTGTGTCCACACAGTAAAGGAAGCGGTGTGTTTTCTGCAAAACAGAGACAGGTCCTGGCACAGCGTCTCGGAGGAGGTTTCAGGGGCTCCTCCAGCCCCAGCAGCCACTTGGGAAGGCGGCTGTTGTCTGGGGGCCAAGGGGCTGCCCGGGGGAGGCCCACAGCCCTCCAAAGCCGCTGTGAATTCTCGCTCCGCTCTCTTCACTCCTCAGCCCTGCTGTCCCTCTCCACTTCACAGCAGAGGCTCAGCAAAGCTGAGGAACTAGCTCTGTCACCACGGGCGTCGTCCGTCCCCCAGCCTCGGGAGGATGAGAGGACAGGACCTGTGTGAGCACATCCAGGCCTGGGGTCTGAGAAGCATGCTGAGCCAACCCTACAGCGGGGCCCAGGCCGGGCCACAGGGGAAGGCAGCGCGGGGCAGGAGCCATAGGGGACAAGTCCTCCCAGCCGCAGCCCTGCCCTCTTGAGCCTGGGGCGCACGCTGGAAGTTCCCCTCTCAACAGGGCAGCCTTGCCAGCTGCACAGGGCCTGGCCAGGGGCCTGGCCACTCTGCCTAGCCCAGGCTCTTCTAAGAGACCCTGTGCCCCTGAGGGCTGGGGTGGATGGGCCATGGCAGTCAGAGCCCAACGGACCCTGCCGCTGCCTCCTTTTCACTTTGTACTTACACTGCCACCCCCATGCCACCAACGTCCTGCACTCCTAACTCTGTCCCAACACTGCCTCCAGGAGGACCCACACTGCTCCACTGCCCTGCCCTCCCCAGATCTTGCACCCACCATCTCCTGGGGTCCTTGCACCCCAGTTTCCCAGGCCAGAGCCTGTCACCTGAGAGGGCCAGGAGGGGGCTTTCCACATGCCCTGGCTTCCCCAAGCCATGGTGCGCTTCTCTGGGCCCTGTACCCAGATGTGGGGTTTAGATAGGATCCTGCCCCTACTGTCCACACCCAACCCTGAAAAGCGGCCTACTTGGGCCCAGGGCTGCGAAAGCCCCATCCGGAAGTCTGGAGGCTCATGCAAGAGCCTGCCCCCTGCTCTCTGCCCCCAGTCGCTGCTCTGCTCTGAGCCGGGCCCTCACCTCCTGAACACCCTGCCCATGCCCACTGCTGTCCCAGTGGGAAGGCAGCTCCCTCCTCTGCTTCACAGCCCAGCAGCCAGCTCTCACCGCCCACACCCGGGCTCCCCTCACCCCTCCATGTGTCTCTGCTCTGCCACCACCTCTGAGGCCCAACAGTACTCTCTGGTCTCCTCCACCCCAGGGAAGTCACAAAACCATTTCCCCGCTCACCTCCTCCCCAGCCAGCCCCTCCCAAATGCTATTGTAGAGGCTATTTTAAATGTAATGAAAATTTTAATCCTATATTTCTTTCTCTCTTTTTTTTTCGTCTTTTTGAGACAGGGTCTCACTATGCAGGTCAGGCTGGCCTTGAGCCCACTTTGGATCTCAGGCTGGTCTCGAACTCGCAACGATCCTCCTGCCTCTGCCTCCCGAGGGCTGGGATTACAGGCGTGCGCCACCACACCCGGCTACTAGTATATTTCTAACACTGTTCAGGGATGAGACTGGGAAGCACAGTTGGTTCTCATAATTAGCTACAAAACTTCAGGAGTCCTGATGTTACCAGAGCCAGCTACAAGATAAGTGCAACTTAGCCAGACAGTGGTGTTTTGCTTACTTTCTTTTTTATTATTATTATTATTTTAAAGAGTAAAAGAAGGATAACATAGCAATAGGGAGGCTTACCGAATTACAGACAAAGTGGTAGGAAATTATCAATGGTTGTTGTTTTACATATTGTTATCTACAAGATAGTTTCTCAGGAAAACAAATAGACAAATAATAGTGAGTTACAGACAAAAGTAGTAGGTTATTATCTTTTTTTTTTTTTTTTTTAGTAGGTTATTATCAATGGTTGTTGTACTATACTTTGGTATCTTCAAAGTGGTTTCTAAGGAAAATAAATAGAGCTATACATGAGTGACCAATTGACTATTCATTGACTACTCTCAATGGCTGTTGTAGGAAACACATATTAATAAACATACATCCATTTATGAAATAGCATAGGAATAATTCAAACATTACAGAGTTATGGACAGATTAGTAGGAAAATATCAATGGCTGCTGTAATACATGGTGGTATCTTGAAAGTGGTTTCTCAGGAAGACAGAGATACGCAAGAAAGATCTAACAAGTAGTTACAGCCTGATGGTTGTGAAAAATAGTGGATTACCTCCTCACCAGTGACTCCTTTCACTGAGGTGTGACGGCTGGAAGGAAGGCCAGGATTGAAAAGAAGGACCAAGAGACTTGCACCTGTGTCTAGCAACAGGCTGTTTTCTTTTTCCTCTATAGTCATGATTACCTGGGGCTCCTCCATGGAGATGACAGTCTGGCCAGAGGGAGAAGGCAGAGTATGCCCCGGGTCCTCTCATTCCTGTTGGACTAACTGGTAGGATGGGTCTGAGCTCGGGGGCTTCCACTTCAGAGGGCAGACTGATCTCCAGTGGTCACCTTTGTGTTCAGGCATGGCCCAGGGGGCTTCTTAAGGCAATTCCTCTTGAGGTGGCCTTGCTTTTAACAGTGGTAGCAGATGAATGCAGTAGTCAAGTTCTTCTTGGGGCCCCGAGAATCAGACTTAGGGTCTGTTTCTCTTAGTGCTGCAGCAAAAGCAGCCGCTTTTTCTCAGTCTCTTTGTTTTCTCTCCTTGGCCTCCTCCTCATCATGGCTATAGAATACTGAGGAGGCAATTCTTACTAACATCTCAAGTGAGCCATCTGGGGCAAAAGCCATTTTTTGTAGCTTTTTCTCTCCAGCCTCCCAGTGCACTGACCCTGCAACCACTTAGTGTCCTCTCCCCAACCATGAGCATAGGCAGCAGGAATCTTGGTGCAGACCTCTGGAGCTCCACAAGCTCCTCCACCACAGCCTGTACTGTCAGGGGAAGAATGGCTTCCAGGGGGTCTCCCCAGATATTGTGCAAGGTGCTCCTGGTTTCCAGCTTTTGCTTGCTTTCCAGTCCCGGACAGTTAGCGCCTCATAGACACCTCTGCCCAATCTGACAATGACTGATTCTTCCCCCATATTACAGGACAGTAACCTTATTAGTTTGTGTAAGAGTAAATTCTGCATAGCAATTAATGACAAACACACATGTAACCAACTATAGAATGCTATGTTCTCTGCCTTTTTGTTCTTCCTTCTGAGAACCTATGTAAGTGATTAGTAACCTCAGAACGAGGCTGGTGATTTGAACCTCAGGGTTCCCCAGCCCGCTGGTGTAATAAAGCTGCCTTCCAAAGTTCCTCTGGTGCTGCTGTCTTCCGTTTGATCTGAATCCTGCATCACTGTCACTGCAGCCTCCTGGCCCCCACCTCCTTCGCTCCAGCTGCCTCCCATCTGCCTCCACCCAGTCACACTTGCCCCTGAGGCACACTGCCAGCGCTACTCTTTCTCAACAAGGTCCCTTGGCCTCGGATACACTTTCCTGGCTCTCATCAAGAAAGCTAATGAGGGCCGGGGATATAGCTCAGTGGCACAGCGCCTGCCTGGGTACCATAGCCTCCCCTGTGTGGGAGATACAGGCATATCCTGTTCTGGCCAGAGCTACCTAGCAAGGTCTGTAGAGGCCACCAGAACTCAGTCCTGGCCTCTGTGGCCTCTCTTCTTCCACTGCCATCCCCAGGCTGTGGCTGGCTGGGTCACCTCCTCCCAAAGCTCCCCCTCCAGCCTTTGACTCTTGCTCGGACACCTCCTGAGCTTTGGATCAGCCTCTCCTCCATGTCCTGGGCCCCCCACATGGGACAAGATAACTGGGGGAGTCTCCTGGACATGTCACTCTCCTGGTCCCACAGCCATCACTTGAGACGGTGCCACCTTCACAGGGCCGTGTCCTTCCACGCCCGTGGTTACTAGCACAGCTCAGACTTTCTACACTTTAAACTGTAAAATATTCATAACATAAAATTTACTAGTAACCATTTTATTTTATTTTATTCATCTTTTGGAGACAGGATCTTGCTATTAGTTCAGGCTGGCCTCGAACTGACAGCAAACTTCCTGCCTCAGCCTCCTGAGTGCTAGAATTACAGGTGTTCGCCATCATGCCTGGCTCTATTAACCATCTTAAAGTGTCCAGGTCAGTGGCATTTAGTATATTCCTATCATTGTGCAACCATCACCACCCTCTATCTCTAGAACTCTTTTCATCTTACAAAGCTAAAACCCTGTCCCTTACTGGGCATGATGGGGCACACCTGTAATCCCAGCACTTGGGAGGCTGAGGCAGGAGGATCACTGGGAGTTCAAGGCCAGCCTGGGCTACATAGTGAGACCTTGTCTCAAAAAGATTAAATAAATAAATACATACATACATAAAACCCTGTGCCCTAGCTAAGCATAGGGCCCAAGTGTAAAATCCTAGAATGCAGGCCAGCCTGGGCTACATAGCAAGACTATCTCAACAACACAAAACCCCCTGTCCCTATTAAGCATCCTCCTTTCTCCTAGCACCTGGTATCCATTCATTCTACTTTTTGTCTCTATGATTCTGACCATATTAGGAACTTTATAGAAAAGGAATTGTGCAGTATCTGTTCTTTTGTGACTGGCTTATTTCACTTGGAATCCTCAAGGTTCATGCATATTTAGCATGTTTCAAAATTTCTTTCATTTCTAAGGCTGAATAATATAGCCACTGTATGACTGTAAGCCATTTTTAGTGAAAATAGTGAACAATATCTTTTGTTTTGTTTTTTGTTTTCTGTTTTTTGTTTTTCTTTTTCTTTTGGTACCAAGAATTGAACTCACGACCTTGCACTTGCCAGGCAGGCGCTTTGCCGCTGAGCTAAATCCCCAGCCCCTGTTTTGTTTTGTTTTGTCTTTTTCAGACAGGGTCTCCCTATCAGGCTGGCCATGAACTCTCAGCAATCCTCCTGTCTCAGCCTCCTGAGTGCCGGGATTACAGGCGTGCACCATGCTCAGCATGAACAGTATCTTAAAATCTCCCTTTCATTTGTTCTGGATACAGACCAGAAAAGGGATTGCCAGATCCCATGTAAAGTCTGTGTTTAATTTGTGAGGCCTGCCACACTCTTCCACAGGACCTTGGGCACTTTCACCACAGGCAGGGAGCTTCCCCATGGGCTTCCCAGCCTCCACACCTTCGTATCTGCATTTAGGTACCCTACAACCTTTGTAAAATCCACATTGGACTTTTTTTTTTTTTTTTTTGTCTTTTTGACACAGGGTCTCCCTATGCAGTTCAGGCTGGCCTTGAGCTCACTTTGTAGCCCAGGCTGGTCTCGAACTTGCAACCAGACTCTTGCCTCAGCCTCCTGAGTGCTGGGATTACAGGCGGGCGCCACCAGCACCGGCTTCACATTTGACTTTGTAAGGCCTTTAAAACCCTCAGGAGCTCTTAGTGGCCTTCAAGACAAGTGCAGCCTGCTCAGTGGACACTGGGGCCCTCCAAGCTCAGGCCCCCTCGGCCACCCTAGCTTCATTTCCCTCACCTACAGCATCCTTCCACCTTCCAAGCAATGCACCTAGCCCAGGCCTCCACCTTAGGCCTGCCCGGACCCCTTGGCTGCACCGCCCTTAAAAACAACGTCTCTACTGTCAAGTCTGTGGAAGGACTCGAGATCTCCTTTTTCTTTTTCTTCTTTTATTTTTTTCCTTCCAGCAAAACATCCATTATGATGCCCAGGCTGGGCTCAAACTAGCGATCCTCCGAAGTCGCTGGGATCTACAGGCGTGCGCCATGCTGCCGGCTTCCAAGGTCTTTTTCATTCACTTCATTCACAGTTACTTCGGGACTTATTTATGAAATGCCTTCGGGAACCTAAGTGCTCAGCGCCCTCTACCTTTTCCGTGCAGTGGCCCTTCTTGCCAGTGAAGACCCCTAATCAGACCCGAGGGGCTAAGCAGAGGTTTGCTGACCGATTCCCCCGAAGTCCCCCCAAAGGGGGCTTTGGTCGGACTCGCCACGTCCTAGCTGCTTCTCCACTCCCGAGATCCCTCCTCACCGCCCTCACCCCGCAGCGTGCCCAGCGCCAAGGTCCGGGACTGGCTCTGACCCCGGCCGAGCATAGGGCCAAACTGGGACTCAGTTTCCCCACATGAAGAACAGTTTGTAATCGCGGTCCCTCTCCCAGTCCTTACCTGCGGGGAGAGCTGCCAGGGCGGGTCAACCTGCCGCTGCCTCTCGCAAATCAGACAGGTCCGGATACCCTTGCAGCCACACTCCTGGAAGACCTCGGAGGTCTCTGCTGTGGCCGCCTCAGCCGTCATCGCACCGTCCGGGAGGCCAGGACGCATGCGCTTGCGCGAGGCCTGCCGGGAGTTGTAGTCCACGAAGGTCATGAGGCCTCCGCACCACTTCCTTCCGGTCGCAGCAGCCGCGGGACTGCGCGGTGCCGCCCCCTGAGTACCTCGCCCGCGAGCGCGGGTACCTGAGGGTGGGTGGCGGGGGCTCCACTGGACACCGGGACGTCAGCGAGTCAGTACAAGACGCGCCTCTTCGCCATGGGTCCTCTTACGGCGCGGCTGCTCATGGAGCGCGGGCAACCCAGGAGCGACCGGCTGGGGAAGATCCGGTGCCTGGAGTGAGTCTGGCGGGGGCTAGGATGTGTCCGCGGGGCTCCGCAGATCCCCGCCCCGGGCTGGATCTCCCGGCGGGTGGAAAGGAAGCCCCGCGCCCCCGCTGGTCCCCGTCATCCCCCTCTAGACCCCGTGGAGTCTCTAATCTTCGGCGCCAGACATCTCGTTAGGAGATGCGCGGGACCTTTGCCGCCCCACCGTGGCCGGGGCGGGATCCGAGTGGCCTTGTCTCTGCCGGGATCAAAGTGTTCGAGGGCCTGGGCAGCACAAAGGGGGCCCCCCAGAGGAACAGCAAGAGCCTTCCGGAAGGCGCCAGCGGCCCTGGGGTCTAAAGTAGTAGCAGGTGGAAACACATCGCTGCAGCCTGGGGAGACCGGCTGGGCGACGCGAGGCCTGGCGGCCCCCTGAGCCCTCCCGCTCTGTCCCCACCCCAGCTTGTCAGGAATGGAGCTGCTCTCCGAGCACCTGGACCCGAAGCTGCTGTGCCGCCTGACGCAGCTGCAGGAGCTTGACCTCTCCAACAACGAACTGGAGACACTGCCAGCCAACCTGGGCCTGTCCCACCTGCGCATCCTCCGCTGTACCAACAACCAGCTAGAGGATGTCACCGCCTTGCGCCAGTTTCCAAAGCTGGAGGAGGTGAGCCTGGAAGGCAACCCCTTTCTGACGGTAAGTGAGGTTCCCCCATCAGTCTCATTCCCTGGGGCCAGGGCTCCGTGGGACTCAGGCTCCACTCCCTTTATCCCCCAGGTCAATGACAACCTGAAGGTCTCCTTTCTGCTGCCCAGTCTGCGGAAGATCAATGGCAAGGATGCTTCCTCAACTTGCTCCCAGGTGGAGAAGCTGAACCGGGAGCTGACCAACAGGGTAAGGGCACGGGGCTCTTGGCCCTGACAACCCTCTTAGTGTGCAGGTGGTATGGCAGGGACAGCTGGGACACTGATGCCAGGACAGCTCAGATGTGTGTGGTGCTCTGGTTTGCCCAGCTGTAGCAAAGAGGCTGTGTTCCCCAGAGGCTTCTAGTGGGTGGTAAAGCTCAGACACCTGCGGCCATGGAGAGAGGGCTAGAGGGGCCAGTGGGCCAGGGGAGCTGGGTGGCCAGGATCTGTCTGGTCCCTCTCACTCCAGGTTACAGCTCACTGGGAGAAGTTCATAGCTGCCCTGGACCCTGAAGAGAAGACTGAGAAAATCCAGGCGGATTTTGTGAGGTCTGCCCTTAGGCATGTACGCTATGGACCCGAGTCCCTCAGCGAGTTCACCCAGTGGCGGGTATGTCCTCACCCCATTGTGCCAGAGCCACTTTTCCTGTTCTCTGCTGGCTTCTGTGGTTCTGAGCTGTCCTGGAGGTCTCTGGCCACAGGGGCCTCTAGGAGCAGCTGGGAGTGGGGTGGGTCGGGGGTAGCTCTGTTGGCTGGAGAGGTCCTCTACTAACTTGAGAGGCGCACACTCCCTGTGACCAGGTGTCTGGGGAGGGACTGGGTGGCTCCGAGAATTGTGTCCAGCTTCCTGAAGTCCTGGCTCACCCAGGTGCAGATGATCTCTGAGGAGCTGGTGGCTTCCGGTGGAACAAGAGTGAGTGATGCTGACATCCCAGAGAAGTCGCCAGGAGTGGCAGCTGCCTCCAGGCCCAGGGTGAGTGTGGTTCTGTGTGGCTCACTGGGCTCTCTCTTGGCCCTGCTTGCCCATGGCAGCTGCTGGAAAGCAGGAAGTCCTCACCATGAGCTCAGGAGCTAGTTGCCCCTGCCCGGGTGTTAGTCAGCTTTCTGTTGATGTGACAGAATACCTTAGGTAACCAGGTTCTTAGGAAGAAAGATTAATTTTGGTTCACAGTTTCAATCTATGGTCACTCGGGCCTGTGGTGGCACAATATATCCCAGCTGGTGTATGTGGTAGAAGCAGCCAGGAGTGAGAAAGAGAGGGGAAAAAAGGTAGGGAGATAAAGGGACAGGTCCCCAGACAGGACCTTTTCAAGGGCACACCCAGTGACCTAACTTCTTCCACTAGTGGCCCCACCTCCCACTAGTGCCACAGGCCGGCAGCCACGGCTTTAACATATAGGCCTTTGGGAGACATTAAAGATCCAAACCTCAACACTGAGCAGACGCCCTCCCTGATCCTGAACCAACCCTTGCTGCCTGCCCCTGGGAGGGCACAGTGCAGCCTGCAGTCCGGACGAAGGAAGCCCCAGGCAGGGGTCCCGTGGTCATGAGGCTCCCTCCACAGGCCAGGCTAGCAGCCATGAAGCGCCTGGACGACTCGCCCCTCAACCTCTCTCCCATCAAGCGGGTGTGTGCCTCCCTGCCAGCCCAGGTGGAGGACAGCCAGGTAAGCTGGTAAGGTGGCAGGGAATGGGTCCTGGGCCACGGGCTGGGGCTGGGACAGCGGCAGCCTTGACACCCCACCCCACCCCCACCCCGTGTACCCACAGGCTGGCCTGCAGATGGAGCCCCTGTACTTTCTGCAGTGCCACAGCAGGAACAACAGTCCTCAGGACCTGAGGACCCAGCTGTGGGCCTGTGCCTTTGAGCCAGCCTGGGAGGAAGGTGCGCTCTGGGCCAGGTGGGCAGTGGGAGGGCGAAGACCTGGAGAAACCATACAAATGTCCTTAGTGGGGCCATGGGGGTGCCATCTTTGATGGAAAGGGAATCAGGACGTTGCAAAATGTAAAAGACCAGAGAAACCATGAGAGAAATAGGAGGATTTTATTTTAGGTATACACCAACTCAATGAACTTGTGTCCAAAGGGCTAAGCCCTGAACAAAAGAAGGGCTCCTGTTTTATATATGTTACTAACGGGGTTGGTCCCTCTAACAGCTCTTTTGTAACTTGTGGATGGGCAGTTTGTTAAGCTGTGACAGTTTTGCAACTTACTTGGTAGCCTTGCTCGGACACAACAGGATGTTGTGGGAACAGAAGATTATAACACTTCACTTACGGGGACAAAAGTTACTGTTTTATTGTACTAGAACAAAACACAACAGCTGTAGGGAGGGGCAATTTGGAGAAACTCAACTTTTTCAAGTCCTGCTTCAAAGAGAGACAGCCTAAAAAGTGTCGTAGAGAACCAGGAGTGATGATAGCAAATGCCTGTAACCCCAGCGCTCTGAGAGACTAAGGCAGGAGGATCCAAGTTTGAGTCTGCCTGAGCGGCTGAGTGAGACCCAGGCTTAAATACAAATAAAAGGGGCTGAAGATGTAGCTCAGTGTGAAGGTGCTGGGCACCAGCACCACAAAAGTGTGCGGCCAGGAGGAGGGAGCTATAGGGGGATGTTCATGGAGAAGGTTTTCACGTTGCTGACTGCTCAAAACAGGGTATTCAGGGTCCATATCCCAGACGGTGGCCACGTGTGGTGGAGAGGCCGTGTGTGTGATTGACTGCCAGACGGGCATTGTCCTCCACAAGTACAAGGCGCCTGGGGAGGTGAGTGCCAGGCCCCAGGGTTGAAGGTCCAGGCTTGGCCACCTTTTCATCCTGACGCTTGTCATGCTGGTAACTGAAGGCCTGGCCTCACATTTGTAGGCCAGTGCTCCACTGCTGAGCCGCACCCCAGCCCTCGTGGCTGTTCGCTGGTGCTGGGCCCTCCCTACCCAAGGCCTCATCCTACAGGTGCGTTCACACTTGTATCTCTGCTCTGGTGACCGCTCCTCCCACTGCCCCTAGGAGTTCTTCTCAGTGGCCTGGACAGCCCTGACGGTGGTCACACAGGCCGGCCACAAGAAGCGCTGGAACGTGTTGGCAGCAGCAGGCCTTCGAGGCCAGGTCCGCCTCCTACACGTGCGCGCCGGTGTCTGCTGCGGAGTCATCCGGGCTCACAAAAAGGCCATCGCCACCCTCTGCTTCAGCCCCACCCATGAGACCCACCTCTTCAGTAAGACCTCCCCCCCCATGGCCTTCCCCAGCACCCCAGGCCTGCTGCCTGATGTGGCTCAGTGTTCTTTCCCTGGGACAGTAGGGAGCTCAGGGCCACTGCATGGAGCTCTGGCTTTGGTAGGACATGATATGGCGTCATGGTTCACTGACTGGGCCCTGGATCCCAGCTTTATCCCCAGCCTGCAGTCAGGACCACTCTGTCCCTGTTAGCGACCTTCGGGAGACACCCTGGCCCCTCCAGCTATGGGGAAGCCAGCAAGGGCACTGAGAGCTGCAAAAGGCAGCTGTAGCGCTGGGCACATTAGCTCAAGCAGGATGGTGGGGGCTGTAAGCCCGAGTCACCCCATCTGCTAGCCTCGCCCTCTCGGCCTGAGACCCAGGTCTCTACCTGCGACAGTCTTTAGGGGGGAGCAGGGCCTGCTCAGGCTGCTTCTCCCTGCAGCGGCCTCCTATGACAAGCGGATCATCCTCTGGGACATCGGTGTGCCCAATGACAACTACGAGCTCCACGCCAGGTGAGGCTGTGGCAGGCCCGGGGCAGCACCAGCTGCTGGGCAGGAGGTTGCCTGGGATCCAGGACTTACGCTGGCCCCTCACCTCCTGGCAGTCAGCTCCTCGCGCTGGACTCCACCTCCATCCCCCTGCGCCTCTGCCCTGTCGCTTCCTGCCCCGATGCCCACCTGCTGGCTGGCTGTGAGGTTGGCTGCTGCTGCTGGGACGTGCGGCTGGATCAGCCCCAGAAGAGGAGGTGAGGCTGGTGGGAGGGCCAGGGCCTGCAGCTAGGCAGTCGCCTCTTGGACTCCTGACAGCCTGCGGCTGTTTGGGCCTCTCCTCAAACACTGCTGTGACCATCGAGGTCCAGTGCTACTCCCCCTAGTCAGCATGCGCCGTCTCTCTGTCCTAGCCTGACGTCCTCCTTCACCTGTAAAGAAGGGGCAATGCTTTGCATCCCAGGATTGGTGGTGGGCAAGGAGATGATATCTAAGCAGGGAGGGGCTGTCGAAATGCCCCACAGAGGCTGTCTCTCCACTGTACCTCCTGGAAAGCCCCCTAGGTTAGTGCTCAGCCCTCTCTCTCCCTGCTCCTAGCATGTGGGTCCCTGCCCTCATGGAGCACAGGGTGGTGGGAGAGACTGGCCGTCAAACAGGGACAACTAAAATCCTGCAGAGGTTGACACCAGCAACAAAGGGAAAAGTAATAAGGGAGGTCCCCTTTAAAGTGGCAGGCCAGCCGGGCGTGGTGGTGCACACCTGTAATCCCAGCACTCAGGAGGCTGAGGCAGGAGGATCGTTGCGAGTTCGAGACCAGCCTGGGCTACAAAGTGAGCTCAAGGCCAGCCTGAACTGCATAGGGAGACCCTGTCTCAAAAAGACATAAAAATAAAGTGGCAGGCCAAGGCACTGCTGAGGTGATGGAGGGTGGACATGGATTCTCAGGCTGCTCTCACAGAGCCTGTGAGCCAGTCAGCCAGGCTAAGGACAGGGTTGCTTGCCCAGTGGGAGCAGCACATGCTGAGGGCCAGGAGGTGTGGCCACAGCTGGCCATAGTGAGGGCGTGGTTGCCTGGGCTAGGGCATGCTGGCCAACACCAGATTCTGCATGTTCTCCTACGCAGTAGCAGCTGGGTGCTGGTGGTGGCTGTGGGCTTCACTGCTCCCAGCCAGCTGTCCCTGCCACCCCTGGGCTAGCCGCCTTCCTCCATGCCGTTGTCTGCCTGTCCCCAAGTCTCACGGCGTCCTTCCTTTGCCTCAGGCGTGTCTCATCCCCTCTGGTGCCCAGTTCAGGCCCACCTCCTGCTAGGCTGCCTTTCCAGCACCAGGCGCTGGCCACGCCCAGGTGTGACCACACACAACAGCCATCCACTCTGCCTGTCACCCCATCTGCTACATCCGAGTGTGTGGCCAGGTGCTGGTTCCCTTTCAGGATGAGGCTGAACTTCTCCAGAAATGCAGCTTTTGGTGACACCTTCCACCTGTCACCAGGGCCCAGAGCAGGTGCCTGGCAGACCTGGAGGTGGCCAAGCAGCTCCTTGTGTGGGCACAGAGCAGCCAGCCTCACCTTCTGCCACCCGCAGGGGGTGTGAGGTGGAGTTTGTCTTCTCCGAGGGCTCCGAGGCATCGATAAAGAGAGTGGACGGGCTGGCGTTCGTGAACGACGATGTCGTGGGTGAGTGTGTCCAGCCTGGGACAGCCTGGCTTCGGACCCACAGGGCTCGCAACAGCAGGAGTGGTGAGGGCCCAGCTCAGGCACGAGTCTCTTCTCCCCGCAGCCTCCAAGGGGAGCAGCCGGGGCACCATCTGCCTGTGGAGCTGGAGCCAGACGTGGCTGCACCGGGGTAGCAAGTCCTCAGTGGCCGTGGTTGTCCTGGCTCGGCTGCAGTGGTCACCCACGGAGCTGGCCTACTTCTCGCTTAGCACCTGCCCTGGTGAGCCTGCCCTCCCCGTTCCCCCCTCTCAGGCCCGGCCACTGTCCCGCCCTAAGTCCCCTTCTCTCCTGCAGACCAAGGGATTGTGCTCTGCGGGGACGAAGAGGGCAGCGTGTGGATCTATGACGTCAGGCACATCCTGAAGTGGCCGTCTCCAGCACCAGCAGCCCCGCAGGCCCCCACACAGGTAGTGTCCCCACAGGCGCCTCCCCCAGGCTGGGGCTCGTGTCTGAGAAACAGAAGCCCAGCCCCTTCTCTTCCCCACCAGATCCTTAAGTGGCCACAGCCAAGGGCCAGCGGCCAGCCAGTGACCAAGACCATGGTGAACATGGTGGTGGCCAACTCTGCCTTCACCTACCTCACGGCTCTGACGGACTCCAACATTGTAGCCATCTGGAGGAGATGTTAGCAGGGCGGGATGCCTGCCTCTTCGGCACAGGACCAGGGACACATTAACTTATTTAGTGTGTGGCTAATGATGGAGCGTTTTTTTATCAGCGAGTATTTTTATTAAATTTTCTGCTACGGCCAAGCAGCCTGTGGAGAACTGTGTGCTGTCCTGTGGGCCCATCCCGGCTCCTGCTATAAGTCAGGCAGGCCTGGCCGAACTTCCAGAACAGAGCGTGGACAGGCCCTCAGGTCCCTTCTGCTCCACCCTGCCTCGCTGGCAGCCCCCAGGTTCCACAATCAGGGTGTCTGACAGGCTGTCTGCCTTCCTGGAACCTGACGGTCCACTTGCTGTGAAGCCACCTCTGCTTCCTGCCACACCTGATTAGAAGGATGGAGCTGTGTACAGGACACCTCAGTGTCAGGGCTGGGGTCACCAGAGGATCCCTGGGGCTATAGCTGAGCCTGGCTGCTGTCCTCGGCGCTGTGCCTGGAGCAAGGTTCAGGGCAGGGCAGGGACGGGGCTCCCAGACCGCATGAAACTTGCAGCTGCCTACTCAATCCCTTCTTGTTTGTCTTTGATGGCCACCTAGGGGACAGGAAGAAAGGCGTGAGTTAGCCGGAATGGCCAGGACAAGGGTGTTACAAACAGCGCCAGGGCCCACCAGGAAATGGGTGCCATAACCACAGCGCCCCCGAGAGAGACCTGAGCAGAGCCAGCAGCAGGAGGGACCCTCAGCTGGCCCTGACTGCCCCTGTCCTCCAGTGCCTGCTGCTACTGCCCGAATCAAGTGGGGCAGGAGGCCTGCCTGTAGGGCACACGTCACAGACACCAGGTGGAGGTCTCCGAGCTGTGGCTCTTGCCCGCTCTCAACGGCTCTACACTCTGTGGCCCCCAAGCAGGTCTCCAGACCAACACCTGGAAGCGCACAGGCCTTGCAAACCAGAGCAGCCTAAAAGGGCAGGAGGTGCCCAGGTGCTCCATAGGGAGCAAAAAGAGATCCTGGCTATTAGGCAAGGTTCCGGCCTGTGCGGGAGACGGTTCCATGGCTCCGGGTCACACTATGGGGAGTGATGGTCCCTGCTGTGGCACCACTGCCTGTACCCCCCAGGCTCCTCCAAGCAAGCCACCAGGGGCCATCTTCGGGGAGGCCTGTGAATGTCACAGCTCAGGTAGGCAGGCCCGCACAGCGCGCTGTGTCTCACCCGGAACCGTTCCTCCAGCAGGGACAGCTCGCTGATGAGGTCAGTGATGGCATTGGTGAAGGCCTCCTGGGGGCTGTAGTCCGGGGTGGTCTGCACACGGATGATGATCTTGTGCTCCAAGGGGTGGGGGACTTTGTAGCCAGCAAACAGCACCTGTGGGTCCTTCAGCAGCTGCCTGCAAGCCAGGGACAGGCAGTGTGAGGGGAGCCTTGGGCTCTGGCCCCAGCTCTGACCAGGACTTTGCCAAGAGGGCTCAACTAAAAGACACCAACTCAACATTTGGGGGAACCCCTCCTCAGCACACACCCTGCACCTATGAGGCATGAGGACTGTGGCTAGGAAATGGCTTCTGGTGACGTTCTCTGAGGCACGCACATGTCTGCCTTGATGCCCACACCCATCCAGCAGAGTCCAGCAGGAGAGAACAGAGCCCCACTCCCAGTCCGTAAGGCATCAGCACAGCCAACCTGGGGGGCAGCAGCACCAGGCAGCCACTGAGATGGGAATGGGGTCCCTGGGCCTCACACTGGCAGTGCCATCCATACGCTGGGCAGGCGCTGCTCCATAAAGGAGATGCAGGGAGCTGAAGCCTGTCCCATATTCTGTGCCCTGGCTGTGGTGGGGAGCCCGGGGCAGCTCGAGGCCAGGTGGGAGCGCACAAAGGAGACCTCTGGCCAGCAGTGACTAATCCCAGTACTCTGGGAGGCTGAGGCAAGATCACAAATTCTAGCCCAGCCCGGGGAACTCAGTGAAACCTTGTCTCAAAGTAAAGAGTTGGTTGGAGATCCATCGCAGTGTGAAGGCCCTGGATTCAATCCCTAGTCCCCTAAGAAAAAAAGGTGTGTGTGTGTCTCTGCATAGAAGGGAACACGGGGCTCACAGCAGGCCCTGGGAGGGCTGGGCATCCCACTGGCTTGGCTTCAGGCAGGAGGCGTTGAGAAGATGGGCGTCCCTGTGCCTGGACACTGGGCACTGCTGCCCACGGCCTCCAACACAGCAGTCTGTGAAAGGCCCACCCGCCTCTCTTCCCCCCCCCCAAAGGCTTCCCCACCAGAGGGAAGAGTTCGGTCTTCATAAGTAAATGACAAGTCCCAGCAGGACACTCGTGTCCCTGATCACTTACCTAGCTGGGCGTTCACTGGTATAAAGGAGCACCCAATAGCCTGTGTTGAGTACCGTGGGAGGCACTGGATAACCTCAGAACAGCCTTCAGCTTCCTTCCCTTGTTCTACAGAAGTCACAGTCACTGCCACAAACATCTCAGAGTGCCCGTCACTGAGAGCACTGTCACGAGGGATGGAGGAGCTCATTTTGACTACCTCGTGGTACCTATTAGTATATGCAGTCGGGCATTCCTGCTTTGCTACAACTTTGTGCACATTTGCTCACTTTAGTCACACAGATGAACCAAAGATGTACTGAGCCCTATGTGAGCAGACACGGGTTACCAGCATTTTGGAAAAAAAACATCTGGAATTGCAGAATACTGGAGCAAGCACTAAGAAGCACTTCCTCTCTCTCGCTCACAGACAGAAGAGAACCTCCCGGGACTTGTGCCTGGCCCCTTAAAACACCCACTGGCCTGGAACTTACGATTTAATGATGTTCCCCAGGGTGTGGTCTTCTTTGTTGATGGTGAACAAACAGGCATTGGGTACCTTGGTGTCCTTGTTAATGGTGATCCTAGGAAGCAGCAGAGGCAACAGTTGAAGACAGAGCTCCCCTGTTATTCCCCCAGATCTAAAGGCTGCTTCCACCCAGAAGCCTCGCTTCATCTGACCATCTCTCGAGAGCTGGGTGTGGCTCAGCAGAAGAGCTGAACAAAGCCCTGACTCCATCCAGAGCACCACAAACCAATCAACCTTCGACAGCAGTGTCAGTACACCGGGCACCTGCTGACCTGGCGGAACCCTCACCTACTCTGCTTTGCTCCTTAACCTAAAGCAGGGCTTCTCAACTTCGACAGCATGGTCATTTCAGCCAGATGTTTCTTTCCTGTAGGGAGCTTGCTTGTACAACATAGGGCCCCCCCCCCACAACTCAGCTACTGTCCCAGCCCTTTTGAGTTATTAAGACAGAAGCTGGGTGTGGTGGCGCACGCCTGTAATCCCAGCACTCCGAGGCTGAGGCAGGAGGATCGTGGTGAGTTCAAGACCAGCCTGAGCTACAAAGTGAGCTGAAGGCCAGCCTGAACTGCACAGCGAGACCCTGCCTCAAAAAGAAAAAAGAATTATTAGACAGAGTTCTGCTAAGTCACTAAGTTGCCCAGACTGGACCTGAACTTGCAGTCTTCCTGCCTCAGTCTCTGACTTAGAGTCCTGGAGTTGCAGGCTTGAGCCATCATGCACTCACCGCTCAGATGTGGGTTTAAACCTCATTTTAAGCCGTGCCCAGTTCAGTGTAGGGCATTAACAGCATCTCTGGTCCCTCCCCACTAGATGCCATAACAAGGTTGCCACACGTGACAACCACAGGTATTTCCAGACACTGCCCAACAACCCCTCAGGGACAAAATGCTCTCCGGTTGAGAGTCTCTTCCCTAAAGGAGCAGCCCTGGCAAGGGTCAGAACATCTCAAGACTGAGAAGGCCAGTATTTCGGAGCTTTCCAGTGTGCTCGGTCCTAGACTCAAACCACCTCCTCTAGGAGAAAATCTGAGTAAATACAGGAAATAAAGAGCCGACCACGGTGGCACATGCCTGTAATCTCTTTTTTTTTTTTTTTTGGTTTTTCTCCGGTACCGGGAACCGAACTCAAGACCTTGCGCTTGCCAGGCAGGCGCTTTTGCCGCTGAGCTAAGTCCCCAGCCCCAACATGCCTGTAATCTCAACTCTCCAGGGACTGAGGCAGGAGGATGGAGGTAGTAGGTGGGAGACAAGCGAGGGGGCTGCCCGGTCCCTGAGGAAAAGAACTTTGGACCCAGACTCTGGGTTCCAAAACAGGCTCCGCCACTTCCTGGGAGCTCGGAGAAAGTTACTCAACTTCCCTAAGCCTCAGTTTCCTCATCTGCAAAATAGATGCACTCGCTACTGCCTTCCTGGGCTGCCTTAAGTTTGGCACACACATACCCAGCAAAATCGGCTCGGCAGCCAGGAGTGGTTATGCACGCCTATAATCCCAGCACAGAGGGAGGCTGAGGCAGGAGGACTGGGAGTTCGAACTTATTTAGTGACACCCTGTCGCAAAATGAAAAAAAGAAAGAAAGGAAAGCAAGCAAGCAAGCAAGCGCTGGGAACGTAGTGAAGGCGCTGCGTTCAATCACCAGTACCTAAAACACACTGCTCCGTCCCCCCGGGGCAGAAGAAACCCCAGAAACCGCAGAAGCCGACCGGCAAGGCCCGAGAGCCTCGGTCCGCCTCTACGCGCCACGGCCGGCTCCACTTACTTCTTCTCGCCCTCGAAGAGCAAGAACGACTCGAAGGCTGGCGGGGCGTTCATTCTGGCGCTGCGGCCCTGTCCGGACTCGAAGTGGCCGCCGACGTCACAGCCCTACAACGCGACTTCCTCCCGCTTAAATCAGCGCCGCCGGTTTAAGCGCCGCCTTATCGCCCCCTGCCGGATTGGAGGACTTCACGCAGGCGCAGGCGAGCTCGGGTGGGTCTGCCGGCTCTGCGCATGCGTCATCCCAGAAGCTGCTCCCCAGTGGTTTCCTTCTGTACTTGCTCCGAGCGCTGAAGGGCTGCGTTGCTTCTACCGAAAGCGCGGTTCAAGCTAAGCGGGATTCAGAGTTATGCACCTCTCGGTTTCCCATACCCTAATCTCTCTTTAAAAATGTGCCTTGGAGTGGCAGCTGAGTAGAAAACGAATCCACGGGATAGTGGGCGTTTGTGGCGGACAGCGGGAGATCCAGAAGGTTGAAGAACTCTCCTGGCCGGGAGCATGCGTATGGATACCTGCCTCATCTGCCTGAAGACCCCTGGCTGGGTGTCACCGACTTCGTGCTCGCTGGAAAACGGTGAAGACTAGGGGAGGCAAGCGTATACGGATGTGAGAGGCGCTTGGAGCCTTAAGTGTACTACCCCCTGGTCCGACTGGTTGATATTTTGCAGACTCTGGTTTAGTATAAAGGCTCTAACTGAGCTATCTGAAGCAACAGGAGCTGGGGACTCAGATGAGCTACAGAACCCTAAGATCTTGGTGATGTTCCGGCTGGGTAGCCCCCTGGGGAATCTGGAGCTTACGCCACTAATTCCATTTCTCTCTTAAAGTCTTAAGTCTTGGGCTGAAGAGGCGTCACTCTACAGGAACCTCACTCGGGACCTTGAGCCTCCAGGCCAAGGGGTTGAGAGGCTCTGTGCGAGGTGGGAGACAGAATGAAGGTGAGGGCACGCCAGTGTAACCCCCATCCTTGTGGACCATCCTGGAACAGTCTGAAACAAGGATGCTGCAGGGGCCTGGGGAGGATGACGCTGACCACCCTTCATGGGGCAGGGGTAGGGTTTTACCCACCAGGGGCCTCTCCATCCATCAGACTGTGGACGTTTGATCTCTTGGAGAGTTCTGGTAACACCTGCCTTTTAGTTCCCAGATCAGTGAGATCTGGTTTCCAGAAGACACCAACCTGCAGGATTTCCAGTGGCTCAATGTGGGGGTGCCCCAGAAGGAGGCTAAATGAGCATTTCCATTTTTTCACAAGCTCGGGGAGACAGGCACGACTACAGAAGAGGCTGCTGGCACACAGAGCATTTAGAAAAATAGTGTCACCTTGGAAACAAGCTAAAGGGGGTGTGTGCAGCATGTGCTGTCAATGTTACACCGGAGACACTGTTGGACGCACCTGCTCAATTATTTATCGGGGCAGGGGTGGGCATACTTCAGGGCCCGCACTGGACCAGATCCAGCCTTCCACGTGTTTTTGTGAAGAGTTCACCTGCTTCTCTTTCTACACTATCTGCAGCTGTTTCTGCTGTGTGGTAGAACAGATGTGACTGAGACCTGCCTGCCTGGCCCATTAGTTCGCTGATCCTAATTTTGGGAACTGTGCCTGTGTCTGGCTTTGCTATTTATTCAGTTAAGCCCAGACACTGACATTACAGAAAACTCTATTAACCAGTTTTGTGTCAAACAGCACAGTGTTATCCTAGCATTTGTCTCTCAAAATGCTTACAAATGCCCCGACACACAAAGTGCTCTATGAGTCACGTTTTTTTTTTTTTTCAGTACTAGGAATTGAACCCAGGGCCCAGTCCTTTTTTTATTGATAGGGTCTCACTAAGTTCAGGAGTTGGGTTTGGAAGTCTTCTGCCTCAGCCTCCCTTAGAGCTGGCATTACAGGTATAATGCCTGGCTTGACTATTGTTTTAAAGCATCCTTGAGCCGGGTGTGGTGGCTCACGCCTGTAATCCCAGCACTCGGGAGGCTGAGGCAGGCGGACTGTTGCGAGTTCGAGGCCAACCTGGGCTACAAAGTGAGCTCAAGGCCATCCTGGACTGCATAGTGAGACCCTGTCTCAAAAAGACAAAAAATAAAATAAAACATCCTTGAACTCTGAGCTGCAGGGCCACCTCTCCATGCGCCTTACTTTCCTAACCATGGGCAAATTACTGGTCTTGCCCAGTAGCTTTTTAAAAAATGCTGTTAATAGGCTGACAGGTGAGAAAGCAATGAACGGATTAGAACAGTGCCCACGTGCAGGGGCTCTTCTCTGTCAGCTGCTGCTGTTAGGCTTCGGCTAGGGGGCACTGGGTGAGTAAGCTGGAAGCCCCCCCCCAGAGGCGCAAAGGCCCCCATCCATCCTGGCCACAGGATGTCCACAGCACCAGCATCCTGTGACCCTGCAGCCAGTCAGCCACAAGGGGCAGGGTACAGAGGTGACAGGAGCCCTGCCCCCATCACCTGCTGCTCAGCCATCCCAGGCCCAACTCAGCTGTGCCCTTGGGGACTGGTCTTCTTTGCTAGGCAGAGGCTGTGAGCTCCCCTGGGCCTGGTGCGCAGCCCCAGAAGGGAGCCTGCTGGGGCTCAGAAGGGCAGACCAAGGGCAAGCAGACCAGCTCCCAGGGCACCCAGGACACAGCCCTGAGGGTCCCAGCCTCCAGGTAAGGGGACTGGACTAGTGCAAGCTTTGTGGACTGACAGTGGGGCCAGCCTGGGGCTTCTAGAGAAGTGCATCAGACACATCCCATGGGCTAGGGCGGACTGTGGAATCTGGGCTCCAAGAGTCACAGAGGGGACGGCTCCACGGAGGCACCTTGAGCCTAGTCACTGGGAACACAGCTGAGAGCTCAGCACTGCCAACTCTGCCAGGCCCATAGCCTCAGCAGGCATGAGGAAGGGGATGTTCTACTCCAGCCCTGCTATGCCATGGGGGCTTGTGTGTCAGCTGCTCTGAGGAGAAACGTGGTGCTAGCAAGACTGGTGGGGCCACACAGATGGAGGAGCAAGGTAGTGACAGCAGCCAGGAGGAGAAAGGGCCCTGCTCCAGGAAGGAGACGCAAAAGTGGGGCACAAGGATGCAGAGGCTCTGCTGGTGGCCCCAATCCTTGGCTGTAGCCCCAGCAGCCTCCAGATCCCCCTGGACTCCCATTCAAGACCTCAGAGCCAGCCGGGCATTGTGGCGCATGCCTGTAATCCCAGCACTCTGGAGGCTGAGGCAGGAGGATTGCTACAAGTTCAAGACCAGCCTGGGCTACAAAGTGAGCTCAAGGGCAGCCTGAACTGCATAGCGAGACCCTGTCTCAAAAAGACCAAAAATAAATAAATAAAAAATAAGATCTCAGAGCCCTGGCAGTCTAGCAGGTTTATTGTGGGTAATGGAGCACCGCGACACCGTGCCCTGGGGACCAGGCAGTGGCAGGGAGGAGTGAGAGGACACTGAGGTGCGAGCCCAGTCTCCTGGGCTGGGACTGTCCTGGGTAGCTGTGGGCTGGGTCTGTCTAGGCAGGAGGGCACACTTCCTGGAGAAGGTGGATCAGAGACAGCGAAGGCTGCAGGGGCCCAGGGAGCAGCCCAGCAGAGGGGCCCAGAGGAGCAGGTGCCCCCTCTATCCCCAGACTTCAGCAGCCATGACCACCCTACCCGGGAGACACCCAGGCCCACCCTGCAGCTCAGGTGACTGGCAGGGTCAAGCTTGGTGCCTGCTCACGTCTGCAGCTCCAGGGTGCAATGGGGCTCTGAGGAGGGTGGGCCAGGTAGGCTTGATCTATGCGACGCCTGGAGGTCCTGCAGCACCCCAAGCAGTGCCGCCAGGGCGTCCTCAGGGGCTGGAGGCAGAGGGTCCATGAAGCCGGCTGGCAAGGCTCCCGCAGGTCCCACCCGTGCCACCCCCAAAGGGAGCCCTAGCTGGGAGGGACTTACCTTCACCAGGGCCCGCGGGCACTGTGCCTACCTCTGTGCCCCGGCTCAGCTCCCGGTGCTTCTCCCTGTGGGGAGGACAGGGTGATGGCCATGGCCACAGCCGGGCTTGCTGAGGGGGGGAACCCTGTGCGGCTCTAGGGGCCAACGCCAACTCTTGGCAGTCTATGAAAGAAGAAACTTGGTACCCAAGGCTCAGTGCCGAGCCACCTCCCACTTCCTCTCTTCCAGCCCCCGACCCTACCCCTGTAAGTGCGGGTCAGTCAGCATCAGCTCTGCAGCGGAAGCTCAAACCTGTCACTGGATTTTTGCAGAGCCAGCAGGGGGCTCAAAATCCCCGGTCTCAACTCACCAGGGAATGAATTGCCTATTGATTTTTGGCGGAAGCTAGAGATGGACCCCAGAGCCTCACACATGCTAGACATGTCATCTAACACAGAGCCACACCTCCCAGGCCTGAAGTTCCTTCTTCTTCTATTTTTTGTTTTTGAGGCAGGGTCTTGCTATGTAGTGCAGGCTGGCCTCAAACTCTAACTCACAATGATCCTTTCTCTTGCTCGGCCTCCTGAGTGCCAGGATACAAGCAAGCCCCACCGTGTCTCCTAGCCTAAATTTCCTTCTAATGGGGTAGAAGACAGGTTCTGTTTTGGTTGAGTTTTGGTTTCACTACTGGGGATTAAACCCAGGGCCTTCACACTGAGCTACATGCCCAGCTCCTTTTTTATTTTGAGACAGAGTCTTTATTTTATTTCCCAGGCTGGGGTCAAACTTGAAATTCTCTTGCCTCAGCCTGCCAGAGTGGCGGGATTACAGGGACAAACCACCACACCCAACTGAAGCAGTTTCTAACGGTTTGCAAAGATCCTGGACCCTGCCAGGTCTTGCTCTGTGTTTCCAGGAGGGTGAGCAGGGTGTGGGTCTCAGGCTACACGACACTTATTCCAGCATTCTGGGGGCTCCACCCTCTAACCATATCCTGCTGTTGGGAACAAATGTGTCCCTCTGCTATGGCCTCGCCGACTTCTCTTCCAGGCCCTGCAGGGTCAGCCCAGCACTCTTCCCTGCTTTGCAGGGACAGCATCTTCGTATTTTTACCAAGTGCCCATTGCCTGGAACCCCCTTCTCTGCTTCCTCTGTGAGACCCTGTCAGACCTCACAGCCCAGCTCTAATGCCACCTCCTCTGCTCACCGAAGGCCTGGAATGTGCTGGAC